TGATTCTGAGGGAGGAGGTACGGGCAGGAATAGATGATGAAGTTTGCACAGAGACATTGTCAGCCTGGGAGGGTGGCTCTTTGGGTGTCTTATCAGCAGTGAGATTTCATACTTGAGTGAGTGTAGAGAGCTGTGGGTGGTCGTTGGCTGGAGAGAACCCGCTCTACCAGGGAGAAGACACAACAGCAAGGGCACTACTGGATAGCAGATGCCAGCCCTTCAGCATGCTGTTTGCCTTTGCCTGCAAATAACCAGCATGGTTACCCCGGCATTCCAGCCAGATTCTGGCCAAATTCAGCTCCTTTTCTCTCCTCAGGGACACCATCTTGGGAACGAGGCAGGGCTGGGAGTGCTGAATTTTGAATTCACATTTATGCTGCATCAAGATGGCTGCCTGACCTGCTGAGAAAGAGACAGATTCTCCAGTCTCCCCCTGCTCCAGCACGGGGCTGCCACTGCAGGGTGGGCAGGGTCAGGAGCAGGGAAAGAGTTGTGGATGGGTGGGGTGTCTGGGGTGCACATTCCATGCATGTTTTTATGGTTTCTCTGTTGGACACATCTCAGCAGCCCCTCTGAGTGAGGTGACATTGAGGCATGCCCACGCTGGTCTGGGTGACAGGTCTCAGCAGGGCGTGCAAGCTGAGGGAAAGAAAATGTTGACAGAGCACATGCGACCATTCAGACCCATGTCCCACTGGAACCTCCTGGGGCCTCAAAGATCTCCCCTCCTGGGTGAGAGGGAAGGCTTTAGTTGGGGAGAGCTTTGAACACAACGTGCAGAAGTGGCTGTGCATGTGTGTTCTGGGGCAGAGGACCAGAGGGAAGGTAGGAGTGGAGGCATACGTGGATGGGACCAAGTTTTCCAGGGACCCTTTGAGCTGTTGGGAAGAAACAGGGGTCCTCAGAGCACAACCTGAAGGCAGGGTGCATGGGGAGTTGGAGCGTGAGATCGGGGTGGTCAGCCAGTCCCCCAGGCTTTCAGAATGAGTCAGGGAGTGACTGCTGACAGCAGTTCTTTCCACTCCAGCCCATATGGGCTGATTCTGAGCTTCAGAGGAAACCACTTGGCAAGAAGAAGCCTGAGAAATCTCAAATTATATACAAATTTCTCCCTGTCCCACACCCCGGCCGACCTCCAGCTGTAGCAAACGGAAGTACAAGATGCCAGCTCCGGCCCCAACACATGTGCTCACTTGTGTACACACAGCCTGCCTCCAGGCCCCAGCACACGCCTGTGCACACACATGCACGTGCACACCGCCTCCAGGACCAGTACAAGGGGGTGGTAACACACACACCTTCAGGACTAACACACACACACACACAACCTCCAACCCCAACACAGTTTAGCACACTCTACCCCACGCATTTTCAACTGTTCACCATCCAGTGAAGAAAATGGGCAACTGAGACATAGAATGTTCACTCACTCGCCCTGCTGTGCTATCGTAGAAGGAAGGCTTCCCAACGCAAGGCCAATGGCGTCTCCTCTGATCCTGGATCTAGAATCAGCCCTGGAGGTAGGGGTGGGTGGGACGTGAGCCCGCTGAAGTGCAGCCTAAGGAACTTCTATAATTCCAAAACCTCTGAAAAGCCAGTGTGTGGCTAAAGATAGAAAAGATGGAGAGGATGTGTAGCTGAACATGGTGGGTGGCTCTCTTTGGTTTAAAAAAATGCCGCAATAGGTCCTCAGATTAAGAAAGGCACGTTGCTCTCCCTCCCCAACTCTGGCCCTGAACGCAGACCGGCTGCAGGTGGAGACCCTTATCTGCTAATGGAATAGGGCTTTCAGCTGTCTCCCGATGGGCAGAGGGAGACCGCCGAGCCTGGGGGATTTGGGGGAGCGCAGGAAGAACTCTGGCTGGGCTGGGGAAAGGTGTGACGCTAAGAAATCAGAATATCTGGTATGACATCGAGCTGTTTCCTGGCCTTTTGGGGTTGTTTCATTGCCCCAGCCTTTCATCCAAGTTGATCACACAAGCAGTAGGGTTTGGTAGATGAAGGAGAGATGCCAATGAAGGGCAAGGAAGATGGCAGTAGGGGCAGGGGTGTTGCTGAGCACGGTGGACTGGACCCCACAGAGGGCCACACCGGAGGGAGTGAGCCCACGAGAAGGGGAGCTATGGGGAAGCTGCACGTTGCCTGAGGTCACTGCTGGGGCGTCACCCCGACCAGACATCAGGGTTGGGCATAAAGCCACAAGGTCACAGTCATGGGCTTAGTGGGCTTGTGCGTGGGGACCTTCTGAGGCTGGCCTGGCAGAGGAGACGGCATCTCACCTCGCATCTCCCCGGGGCCAAGGCAGGCTGCCACTGCTTCTCTTGGTGGGGAGGCAGCCTTGTCAGTGGGGATTAATCGCACGGGGTGCTGGGGGCCAGAGGGTCTGCCTTTGGGTGCCAGCTATTTATAGCAGTTGCCTGGGAAACCAGCTACCCAGTGCTTAGCAGTCTTGAGGACCTTGAGAAACTTAGTGTCCTTGCAGCCATGGCTGGGAGACCCCGTCTAGACGGAAGCTCGGCTTGGCTGCTTCCCCTCCAGTCAGGAGGAGCGGTTCCCAGTCCCTGGCACCCCGAGCGAGTTCTCTAGACCATTTCCACACATCTCCTTCCTCACGGAGAGGCCAGGGACTTCCCAAGGTCTGAGGGAGGGGAGCAGGAGCCAGCTTTTCTCATTAAGGAAAAAGGTGCTCACAAGAAAGACTGGAGAGTGCAGGGACAAGGGGCCACTTGCAAGGCACCTGAGCAGAGACTCCAGTAGGACGTGTGTCCAGGCCTTGAACTTCCACCGGAGAGAAGCAGGCCAGCAGCTGGGTACAGGCCAGTGTTCCAGAGGGTAATGGAGGCTAGTGGTATTGGGTGGGAGGGCAGAGTCCCTAACGGCCCACAGGGGCCACGGCTGGTTTCCCTGGAAGGGAGGTGGGAAGAAGGGAGGAGGGAGAAGCAAGGGGGAGCAATTTCAGTTCCAGGTGAGGAGACAGCGTGGGGCCATGGGGGGACCCGCCTGAGGCTGGGTGTGGCCTCAGCCAGCAGTGCTGCGCCTCCTTCCTAGTTGACTTCCAAGTTCACCGTCTACAGCCAACGGGACTGGGGTCTGGGGAGGTGCTGGCTCTGGGCCTTGGGTCTTTAGCAGCCCAGGTGAACCCAGTGTCTTCGCGATCTTCCCCACAGGGTGGCTACATGGGGAGAATTCCCGCAACCATAACACTTGGACAGTGGCTTGGCAAGAGGAAATATGGCTCCAGAGATCCACGCCTGATGGAGGCGAGGACATCTGTCGTCTTCAGAAGAAAGCCTGGTGGAGCAGGTCCAGACCAGCCTGTGGTGCCGTCCTGGTCGTGCTCGGCAGCCTCAGCTCAGGGCCCTTGGGTACAAGGTCATGATGAGACTGAGTCCAGGGACAGGGAACCCCCTCCCCAGTGTCTCAGGGTCACAGTGAGACCCACCCTTGTCTGTGGCCGAGCCACGAACCATGGGGGCCTTCCCAAAGGGAGGTGCCTTGTTTTAAGTCACTTAAACTCTCTGTGTGGACCAAAAGGCCCAGGAACACTGGCCTGGGGTTCCGAGTCCTCATGTTCCACCACGAGAGTCTGCCTGACTCTGCTTGCGGAGACGCAGCTCTGTCTCTGCCATCCCGGGACACGACAGCGCACAGCTGGTCACACAGCGAGGGGGTGGGGTCCGCTGCGTCACTCACAGGAGGCCCCAGCTGTGACCATGGGCAAGTCATTCACCCAGACTCAGCCTCTGTCAACTCCTCTGTCCCTGGGACACTAACTGCTCCCAGGGCTCCCCAGCGCGTCTGTGAGGTTGAGTTGTAAACACCACAGCTGCCACACTCACGAGACGGCCGCTCACATGAGAGTCCGGAGTGGACAGCTGGTGACCCCACTGGGCCACTGAGGAATCGTGTGCCAGACCACATAGAGAAGCCACATTGCGTCATCCCCGTGTCCCTGCCAGGAGGCCCTGAGGGTGGGTGATCTTTTGGGGAGTCAAGTTGACTTGTTGGGTGTCCTTTTCTCCATCCAAGTCCCAGGTGCTGTTCAGACCATGGGAGCAGAGACAAGATGCTCTCCAAAGCCCCTTCATGCTCCAAATTCCTACAGAACTTCTGCCATCAGGACTCCCACCCCAGAGTGGGACAGCGGGGAGCCTCGGAGCATCCCCTCGGTCCCCAGCAAGGAGTCCGAGCGGGACTGAGGAAGGCCCGGTGAGGTGGACGATGGCGGGTCTCACTTGTTTGCACCCCACTGTGGCCCCCTTAGTCTGCCCCGGGAAGACAGCCGTGATAATGGTGCGGTGGAAACAGACGTTTTTATTATCAAACACTCATCAGCAAATGTCTTCTACTTCTGTTTTACGATCAACCAAAGAAATGGAATTTGCCCCAACATCAGAGATAAACTTTATTTGCCAGGTTGTATCCGGTGGATACCGTAGGAGAGGTCAAGGTTGATTCTGACTCTAGGTGAGTTTTAGTCCCGCACCTGGGCCTGATCTCCCTCCAGCAAAGCAGATCCAAAGCGGATGATACGGGCACATGACTGGCAACTCCGGGCGGTGACGAGGCACTGCGCTGTGATTGCAATTTGCTTAGAAGAACCATCAACGCAGTCAGTGGTACTAATAACACAAAACACTTTCTTAAAAGTAACTACAGAATCGTATGGAGCAGCCTATGTTGTCTAAAGGTGTAAACAATCACGACATCAGAGCGTGGTTCTGAAGGGCCCGAGCGGAAGGCCCAGCTCCTGCGTGAGTGACTGTCTCTGGTGTTGCGTTTGCGAGCCGGGATTCTCTTCTCTGTCGGTTTTGATGTGTCCGTCCTCCAGGCGAAGGTCACCCCTGATCCAAGAAGCAGCCAGGAGGGGTGCCAGCAGCCGGGAAGTGCCGGCAGAGGAGGCCCCACCGGGCCTGCTCACTCTCTAAACTGTTAACAAATGTCGGATCTATTTGGGGCTTGTGATGTCACCGGCGGGCGGCCGTGGCTGTGGTTATGATGTCATCTGCTGTCTGGCTGGGCGGCTCTTGTGGTCGGTGAGTCACTAAGGAAGGGGGTCCTGGCAGGTCCCGTGTCCTTGGACTCAGTCTGCAGGATTGAGTGCTGGAGAGGCCTTAGGGCTGCCAGAGGGGCTGGAGGCCTGGGTGCTGGGCCGATGCCCTCCTGGGGGGCTGGGGAAATGCCACCTCCGAACCCCCTCCAAACCACCTGCCTCAGGGCCCACACCACAACCATGCTTACTGGACTCTGCGGGAGATTTCAAGGTCTATTGGGATTATTCTCTTGTGGCCCCAGCATGCTGAACTCTGCCTCTGCCTCTTGACGGCCCCGCCTCTGCTCGCTCGGCACGGTTATATCAACGTGCCCTGCGGAGTCTGCTCTGCCTCCCCCTCTCCTGGTGGCCCCCAGCCAGGCTGCTGGGCTCTCCTCTCAGACTGTTCATGTCCAAGTCCCCCTCACAGGGGGTGGCCTGGCCTCGGGTAGGATTTCTCACCCCGTTGGAACTAGGCACCATGGATTTTTCACCCCTTGTTTTATATAAGAACAACAGGAGGACTTTCACATCATCTCAAGCGCACGTGCCTGACAGCTCTGTCTGGGGTGTTGCACTCCATTGTGCCTGATGGGGAACCCTCCCTCCTCTGTGCTTTTAGCAGCCTCTCCTTCTAGATGTTTCCAAACACTCTGAAAACTTACGTAGATTGTCCCAACTTTCCCTTCTCATCAGCAAACGGGAGATAAAGTCTTGATGGAACGAGGATGGCTATCTGGCATCACAACTGAAGTGCAGTCAGGACACGCTGCGCGGCCTCCCTGGAGAGGGCTGAGCAGAGGTGGAGGAGAGGCTGCCAGGCATCCTGGGCTCCTCCTGACCCAGCTGGCTGAGCTCACCCCGTCTCTGTTGAGACCATCGTGAGCCTAGATCTTTGACCCAGTTTCTACCCCACACCACAAGATGAGAGGTGAGGAAGGAGAAGCATGGAGAAACCACAACTTGAAGAACTGCACCCAAAGAGTGAGCACAACCTACTTGAGAGGTCAAATTTCAAGATGGAATGAGTCACAATCCTGGCCCCATCAAATTTCCTCCTCCCTGTCCTCACCATCCTATGGCCTACCAAAGGAGGTGAGTTGTTACACAGTTATGGGGGGGGGTCCCTTCTGTGGGAAGTCATTTGGGACATTAGGGGCTGAGACAACCTTTGTGGGGTGCCCTAGACTGTGTTTAGGGCCCTCCTGGATTCCTATGTCACAGGATATGTTAAGTATTCCCCCAAAATCCTCCCAGTTGAGGTTCTGGGTCTTGATTTACCCTACCTGTCACCTGGGGGCCTAAGGCCGCGTGGGCTGTGGGCCTTGGTGGCCATGACGAGCTATCTTGAAGGGCGGTGGGGTGTGTAAGGAAGAGAAGTACGTGGGCGCCACCAGTGCCGGCTCTCAGCAGACCCCACAGCGGGTGGCGATGGATGAACTTCTGAAGCGCTTGGTAAACGTAGATCGTGGCCAGGGATGTGGTGGCTCTGACTTCCTCATAGCCTGGGGCTCTGTGTTAGTTTTCTGTTGCAGGCATGACAAATAGGCTAAAATCCATACAAATTTATTCTCGCTCCCTTTTTATGGGTCGGAAATCTCACATGGGTCGCACTGTGTGACGACGGAGGGCTGACTCCTTTCTGGAGACCCAGGGGAGAACTACCTCCAAGCGCCTGCAGGTAGGCAGAATCTAGGCCCCTGTAATTGTAGGCTTGAGGCCCCTGCTTTCCTGCTGGCTCCCTGCCGGGGCACCTGGAGCTCCTTGTGTGAAGACCCCCATGTCTCACAGGCCAGATGTCTCTCGCCGTCTCCAGCCAGAGAAATTTCTGTTTCTCAAAGGATCCTATGATTAGATCAGATAATCCAGAAACCTCAGCGCGAAGACTCTAACCTTCAACACATTGCAAAGTCCCTTTTGTCAGCTGCACAAGCAGGTCACAGGCTCCAGGTCTCAGGGCAGCTTGTGAGTTGTCATTGGGTCTCCCACACTCCACAGAGAATCCTGCCCACGAGGAGGATGGGCAGCGCCTCTGAGCTGGAAAACCCGAGCTCCTTCACCAGCCGCTGATGGAGCAGAATTCCCCTGGGTACACAGAACCCTCAGGCCTCCGCTCTGCGCTGGCACCTACCTTGGTTCCACAGTATGGCAACTGTGAGCAGCCGCAGTGAACATGGGTGCAGAAAGCCCTGCACATGAGTGCTTTGCATTCTCTGGAGAAACACCAAGGCATGGAAAACTACTCAGCTATAAAAAAAGATGAAAACTTGCCAGTGTGACAACATGGATGGAACTGGAGGGGGTGGTGCTAAGTGACATAAGCCAGAAGGAGAAGGACAAACACCGGATGATTTCACGCTTGTGAAAGAAAATAAAAATAAAGGAACTTACAAAACTAAACCAAAACAAACCCTGGAATATGATTAGAATTGAAGTTAGCAGAGGGGGCCCGGGGGGTGCAGGATAAAAGGGAAAGGGGGGTGCCAATGGCTTAGGGTAAAAGGATCAGGGTTCCTTGGAGGGCATGTTGTGATGACGTGCATCTCAGCAGGTGTAAGCCTATTCCCCTAAGCCACATATAGTGTTGTAAGCGAATGTTACCTCGATAAAAATACATAATAAAATTAGATTGAACGCCATTCATTGAGCACTTACAGTGGTGAGAGCTTTTCTGAGTGCTCAGGATATAAGACAGGAATGATTCCACTACAAGGAGATGGGGTGAGACGCTTCTGTGGAACGTCCCTGAGGTCCGAGGCCACCCCACTGTACCGAAAAGCTGGGGTTCAATAACTTGCCCAAGGTCAGCCAGCTGACACTCTGCCAGGAGACTCACCTCCTCTCTCCTCTCTGAACTTGGGGTTTGAGACTCTCAGACACCCCTAGTCTACAAAGATCTCCCCTTGGGACCATGCCCTGACCTCCCCACCAGGGGGCCCTTCCTCCTCCCCAGTGGGTGAGGTTGTCCAGGACCAACAACCCATGGCCCACCCGGCCAGCGTTTGCCTGTGACCTGACCGAGGGACCCCACGGGCTTTCTGGAGGCAGCTTTATGGGGGAGCTGGCTGGCCTGTGGTCCCTGACCTAGAAGCCAGGTTCTTCTGCAGAAACCAGGGGGAGAGTGTGGTGACGGCGGGCGGGGCCTGGGCCCTGAGGGGCTTGGGTGGAATTTACATGTTCGTGGCTGTCCAGGTGCAGCCCTTCCTCTTTTTAATGACCGAGGTATTTATAGCCCATCCTTTGAAGGGCCTGAGCTGTGGGCGTTAGGCTTCAGGGCAGCCTTGTTGAGACCCTGGAACAAATGAGGTGCTTCCACATGCTGTTGAAAAGTGAATGGGCTGCGGCAAAAAGCGGGAAAATCCCAATAAAAGCACGCGTTGTGGGAGGAGTTCACCCCAGATGTCATAACGTCTTCATGACGCCGTCACCACACGAGCAGCGGAGCCGTTTCCGGACATGCGTTCCTGTCCCCTGGCCGGCCCTGCGGTGGCGGGTCAGGCATCTCGCTGACCCGGGAGGTGCGGAGACGCAGGTCGCAGCAGGCCGGGGACACAGCTGGTTGGTGCCGGGCAGGCCAGGCCCGCCCACCAGGCCCCATGGGTCAGCAATACCTCTGAGTCCACGCTGGTGTTTTATTCCCACTTCCGTGCTGAGCCGTTGGCAATCCTCACCCCCATTTTACAGTCACACACACCCCGCTTCTGAAAGGCCAGAGGCCCTGGCCCAGGCCCGCGGTCAGGAGGGCCCCGGAAAGAGGAAGGGGAATCTTAGGGACTGAGGCCTAAGCACCGGCATCTCGCTGCTCTGTGGGATCCTCAACTTGTTCTGTTTGCTGTTTTTCTCCCCACAACACCCGCCCAGCCCAGCAGACATGCGGATGTCATCTCCTCCTGCAGGGAGCCCAGCGCCCCTTCTTTCTCATCACCCTCGCCTCCAATGGGACACGCCACATGGATGTTTGGGGCCACCTGGACCTGGGCGGGGCCAACAGGTGGCGGGTTTTACTAGAGGGAGTGGCACCCATTGGGCTCCTGTTAAAATACAGAGAATGAGGAGGTCGGGGGTCCCCAGCCATGCTGGAAAGGAGCAGCAAAGGCCCTGGACAAACGTTGGGCCCACAGCCCATCCCTAGCAGCCCTGCCCCTGCCAGGCAGCCCTTGAGTGCAGCTCAGATGTTGGGGCCTGACTCCTGCCCATTGTCAGTTCCTCCCCTGACTTGGCTGTCTCCCCCTTGTGGTCATCACTTACTTTCCAACCTTGGAAAGATCCAGAACCTTGACTCCCATGGTCACAGTCAGACCCAGCATCAGCCCCTGTAGCTTCACCCTGGGGGCAGAGCTAAGCAGCCAGGTGGGGCCGGTGGCAGGGGAGGAGGCTGGGCAGCTGACCGACAAGGAACTCAGAAGAGCTCTGGGGCTTCCCCTGCAAGTTGGGGAGGCCCAAGGGACCGAGGCAGCTCCTGAGCATGTAGAAGCTACCAGGTGCTGTCCTAGCTGAAGGGCCGCGGGTGAAGCAGGAAGTTTCCCAAGCTTGCTGCCTGGGGGAGTCTGCTCCGGAGAGTCTGCTGCTGGAGCGGAAAAGTTGCTGGGTGGACTGCACTGCTTGTGCACCGTGGTAGCCTTGGCTACCTTGACCCCCTCCTGAACAATAAAGAATGCTTAGGATGGATGGGATAGCAAGTTTCCTCCTACCAACTGTGCAAAACCCAGCCGTTTTTACTCTTGGGTGCTCAGCCTTGCGGGAGCTATCCCACTGGGCCCGCCGCCGTGGCAAGTAAATCCCTCCCTCCACCTCTGAGCGCCGTCTGATTTCTCTGGGAAATCGCCGTAACACTGGGACAAGCTGTGCCTTTGCTCAGGCAGGCTGAAGCTTCCTTCCCGCTTACTCTTTAACCGTGGTGTTCAGCCTGAGTCACCTCCTGGAGAGTTTTCTCCAGTCTTTGGGTGCCTTTTCCAGCTCCTGAAGCCTCTCCTGTCATCCACTTTCTCCACTGCCTGGGACCGGCTGCTCTCTCTGGTTGAGCCCTGCTCTCGACTTGGGGGCCCCTCGAGCCTCAGGAATATTTGCCGCTTGTCTGCAGAGCCCAGCAGAGGCTCTGGCCCAAAGCACGGGGAGAGCAGGATGGAAACATCTGAGGGTACTGAGAACACCTGCTGAGGGGCGTCCGCCTGCGTGCGGTTATGCTGGACGGCGCTCTCCGCTGACATCACGCAGGGCTGGGGAGGGGGTGGCAGCACCCCCATTTCCAGGGGAAGCTAATGCCCCCGTGCACAAAAGGGCATCTTCTGGGTCACTCAGTTCACTTTGGGGAGTCAGAGCCACAGGGTGCTGGGAGATGGCAGGAGGCCCAGCCCGCGGGGTGGGGGAAGAGGGGTTACCATGATGAAGGCCAGAGAAGCGCCCCCGTGACATGGGATGGTCCGGCCTCCACAGAAGCGGCTCTGCAAGCAGGCCTGACCTTAAATAACTAGCAAAGTAAAATAAAAGAGCAGCGACTTGACCTGGGGACCGGGGCTGTTCCTCTGCAGACGAGCAGCACAGAGCAAGCGAACAGGGAGTAGAGAAGTGGATCCCAGCACAGGCCGTGGCCTGAGCCCAGGTCGTCACGCGGTGAATGGGCCCGTGGGCGCCCCCCACGGAGGGTCACCCGAGCACTGAGGACAGAGTCCATCTCTGAGCGCGGGCGCGAGAAGGAGGGGTGGAGAGGACAGCGGGGCGGGGGTTGCAGAGGCCTCCGTCACTGACACAGCAAGCCGGGGCCTGTGGGGAAACGACGGGGCAGGAAAGAAGGAAACAGGATGACAAAAGCGCCCGAAGAATTGACAAGACCTACGTGCATGTGTCAGGCGCTGGGAGGACTCTTTGGCCACCTGTACAAGATGGAATCGTTTCCTGCATGACACGAGCATGTTCGATGTCCTCATTCTACCTCAAAAAAAGTAAAAAGCAAATGGCTACACTGTGAGCCAGCGCCCTGAGTCTGCGAGGGGAGTCGGGCGCCTTAAATGAGCGAATCCCCGCCTTTCTCAGCAGGAAATCAACAGGTGAGGGACCGCTGCCACGCCACAGCGAGGGGGGCGCTCACACTCCCTGGAGTGTCCAGGGGACTGGACCCGGGGCAAGCCGGGAAGTTTGTCCTGAAGAAGGGGATGCTGGCGGGGGGGGGGACTGGGGCTCACCTGCAGCCCCTGAGGCTTATTTGAAAACGGATTCCTGAGCACTCCCTTGACCTGTTTCTGTTCACAGCCTTGGAAACGGGGGTCTGTGTTCCGCGAGCTTCTCAGGGGTTCTCAGGCCCTCAGAGTTTGTCTTCGGGCCTCGACCCAAGGCCTCAGGCAGCCTGGGAGCAGCCGTCCCGGCCTCCCAGCTCCCAGGGGACCCGACGCCTGGCTGTCCTCTGCAAGGGTGTCACGTTGTCCCTTTGAGAAAGCCACTTGCCTCATCTTTCTGGCCTTCGGGCCGCTGCTATCGAAGGAGGAAGCTGACTCAGACTAATGACAGGGCTGGGGTGAGTTTCTTCACTTCCTTCCTTGACTGCTGCCTTCCCAGTCCTGAAGGTGCTCTTTCAGGGTGCTGACCCACTCACCCCTGACCTCCCGGTGACCCTCACCTTGGTGCCAAGTGCTCTGTGACCTCCTGCCCTACACAGAGGGCACGTGCTCCCCACCATGAGGTTGGCGCTCCCATCTGGGAAGGAAGACAGCGTCGAGGGGGTTTTCTGCGGAGGAGAAAGCAGCAGAGGGGGAACCTGCACTGGGCCTTCTGGACACAGCCTGATGGGGGCTGGCGGTGGGACCCCAGGCTTCGGCCCCCTATTCTCAGTCTCTGCGTCATGGTCTGAGCTCAGGTCTCCTGCAGCTCAACGTTCTCACTTTGGTTTGCCGTCTCCTCCGCTACTGGGCAGGGCAGGGCTGTGAAGGCCTCGGCACCGCAGACTTCCCGCCTGAGCTTCTCACGTCCGGGTGGCACATGGAGGTGCCTGGGTGGGGGCTGAGCACCGTGAGCTCGTTACTTTCTGCTCACGATCATCTGCGCCCGCAATCAGCAGGCGAATCTGCACAGTAGGCTTCATCATCATAACAGGATGTCAACAGGGATGTTTTCTCTCTCAGTTTGCAAAGGCTGAGAATGAGGTGCAGGTGGCATCTGGGGCGAGGCCATACCTGCAGGGCTTCAGAAGGGGCAGCCCGAGCTGGTTCCACTAGCATTAGCCCATTCCCCGCGCCCCCAAGTTAAAGACTGGGCAAGATTCATTTCCAGGGCTGAGGGAGGATCTCGGGTCTTGAGATCAGACTGGAGAGGACTTTCTGATACCAGGGGAGCAATGAGCTGTGCCTGAGGCCTGTCCCGGATGACATCTAAGGGGTCCTCCACAGGTAGAATGGGGTGCGTGTTGCCATGGTGCTGAAACAAGGAAGCACGAACTCGCAGGCTTAACACAGCAGCTACCACGGGCCCAAGGTTCTGGAGATCAGAACCATGATATGGAAGCCCGGGGGCTAAAACCTCGGGGTCCACAGGCGCGCTCCTCCCAGAGGAGACTCCCTGTCCTGGCCTTTCCCCACTTCCAGAGGCACCCACACTCCTAGGCTCATGCCCCCATCCCCCCACCTTTGGAACCACAACCCTGGGCCACGGCCGACTCACGCTGCCAGTGCCTCTGCCTCTTCCACTCTTAAGGACCCTGTGATTATACCGGTTCCAGCTGCGTCATCCGGGTTTTTAGCTATTCCAGGGCCAGCTGCGCGGCCACCTTCACCACGTCTTTGACGTTAAGGTCTCATGCTGTGTGGCCTTAATTTTTCACTGGTTCTGGGAATTGGGGGGGGGGCATTGTTTTTATCACAAGTGGGAAATGATAGGAAAAAAGTAAAAAGAAATACTGTCAGTTTGCACCTCACTGAACGCTGCTTTCCCAGGGATCTTAATTGAATTCATGCCACAGGTGAGGGAAGTAAATGTCAGAGAGGTTCACGCGGGGCCCCATCTTGACTATGCAGGGGAATCCTGTGTCTGGTTCCCCAGCCTGCGCCCCCCATGGCTCCCCAACCTCCTCCAGGATACTGATCTAAACCACCCAGGGTGTGGCCTGTGCATCTTGGAGGTGGTAAAACCCCCGGATGATCCCAGCCAAAGGCCCTAGCGGGAACCCACTGGGGAAAAGGAATTGCTCCAAGTCGCCCCACTACTGCCAACACCTGGGAGCACATGGTACTGCACCCAGGTTTGTCTTTCAAAGTCCCCACCAGTGTCAGCGGAGGACACTCCTACGCTTCTTAGGAGGGAACTGGCACTTTACCTGGAGACAGACTGTGGTTGGAACCACAAAAACAAAGCTTACACCTATTTCCTGTGGCTACACAAGAACAGGATTTCGTTTTAGGGGAGAAAACTGGGACAGTGCTTACAGGAAAAGCTGGCATTGGGTGAGACCTTGGTGAATGGCCTCAAGGTTGTCAGTATCGCAGGATCGTCAGGCCTTGGTGGGGGCTACGCCAGCAAGGTCTCTGGACACCTGAGACATCACCCCAGATCTCACAGAGTCCCCTTCCTCTGACTCCCCAGGAGTCTGAGGTCAAGCTCTCCCAGCATAGTCTGGGGTGGACCAGCCTGCACCAGCCCCTGCTCCTCCTGACACGGTCCTGCTCCAGGTCGGGTCCTGCAGTGGGTCGAACTGTATCCTCCACAAAGACATGGCCGGGTCCTAACCAGTACCTGTGGACGTGAGCGTATCAGGAAACATGGTCTTCACAGATGAAATTAAGGTTCTCAAGTTGAGATCAGTTGGGATTTAGGGTGACTCTGAATCCAAAGACTGGTGTCGGTGTCATTGTAAGAGAATAGACAGGGAAGGTGGGTGCAGAGACTGGAGGGCAGCCACAAGCTGGGGTGAGCAGCAGCCACCAGAGGCTGGGCAGAGGCAAAGGATGGACTGTCCCTCAGAGCTCTCAAGAGGACATGGCTCTGCTGACATCTACATTCAGGACTTCTAGCCCCCAGGCCTATGAGAGATCTCATTACTGTTAAGCCAATCTGATCTTTTGTCGTCATTTGTCCCAACAGCCACAGGAAACTTATGAGGTTCTATTTGCCCCATGTCTGGGCATCCCTGGATGGCCAAGCCTGTTAGGAAGTACTGCCTCCTTGTGCTGTGTCTCCTACCCCTGTGGGAGCTCCAGGTCCAGGTGCCTGAGCCTGGATCAAGGATACCAAGAAGCACCAGGGCCATAAGCTCTGACACTAGGACACTTGCTCACTCTGCACTGGAGATGTAAAGAGGCTCTTCAGGCCAACTCCAACTCTGGACCAACCTGGGAAGACCCCCAGATGGGTGGGGGGACTTCATGACCGTGGGAGCCTAGGTTAATTATGTGGCAGAGATGACAGCTCCCTATACAATAGCTCTGCTAACTGCACCCCCACTTTGTTGGCACAGCAATATCTAGGGAGTAAGAAACCCTGGTCTAATAATATCATGCTAGTCTATTCCCTGATGTCAACAACCAGTCTGAAAGTGGAGATCCAACACCATCTTGGCAAAGACTCATAAATTCTGTTGGGAATTTCTGGGAAACATTTCCCTCTGGAAAAAAAGGTACTTGAAGAGAGGAAACTTTTTATCCTGCCCTGCTTGCTTCCAGCATGGGATGCTGCAGGAGGGGATGTGATGTCCGGAGCAATGGTAGCCATATTGTATCAGTGAAGTCAGACATTGTCCATGTGCTAATGATAGCAAAGAGGAGAGCCGGAAGGAGTCTGGCCCCAGATGACATTACTGAGCACTTAAGCAGTTCTGGGGCTACCTACCCCTGGGAATATCCTGGGGTTTAGGCCCTTTAATCGACTATTTAGATACTCTCCTAACTGACAGAGCCTAGAATGAATGTTCGAAGCTACCTGGGGTTTTCAGGGGCATCAGTAGGTTTTACAGGACACGTGAGGTGGCTGTAGACCTATTTGAAGTCCAGAAACAGGTATCAGAAGGCCTGGGCCTGTCTCTGATCCTCCACCTCCTCCTGTGTGAATTTAAGCACCACAAGCCTTTCTGAGTCTCACACTCAACATCTTCAACAGGGTGGGGGTAGGCCTGACTTACGAATCATCTGACTTTAGTTTATGCTGAAATGAGATACATGTGTAGACACATCTCATGACAAGTCATGTGACTGTCAGAGACTGTTAAGAGTGTGTGTGTGTGTGTGTGTGTGTGTGTGTGTAACTGGAACAGTTTAAAGAGAAGATCGCTTCCATAAATGAGTCCCTTCAGAGGGTAAATAATAAATGAAAGTTGCTTATCTGGGGATCCAAATCAGGCAGAAGCTGGCGGAGTAATTCCACTCCTTGCACCCCTGCTGCCACCCCGTCAGGTCTTGTCCATCCTGCTCCCTAAGGGGTTTCCTCTCTGTGTCTTCCCTATCTCTGCCCTCACCACCTTCATTTAGACCTCACTGTCCCTTGCTTAGGATATTGCATCAGCCCAAACTGGTCTCCGACCTGCATGCTGGAACCTTCACAAGAAAATCCTTTCTAATTGATAGGTGGGGCTAATGTCAATCCGGGGTCTGCCCTCAGTGGATCCCTATTTCCTGCATCGAGGTGAGTATCTGCTTACCGCACTTCTCTCCATTTCAGGGGTGAGGCCCTCACCTCCCCAGCACAGGGCATGGGGCACAGAGCATGTGCTGCAAGTCTCTGCTGGGAAGAAACAACAGCCTGGGATTCAAACTGCATGAAGATTTGCAAGATATAGTCTGGCATCCCCCCGTGGTTGTAGTGAATAAACAAGCCAGAGTCACAAATGCTTTACTGCACGTAGACATTTTATTGAAAGTTGGTGGCTGTTTTAGAGCATCAGGGACCCACAGTGGCAGCCTGGGGTGGGGCTGACAGGGTGAGCAGGGTCTCAGGGGCTGGTCACTTGCTGTAGCTCTTGGAGCCTGGCTCTGAAGGGTCCAGGAGGTCTTCTCCCTGCCCAGAGTCAGCTGGCCCATCCTCCTCTTCACCTCCTGCTGACGGCCTGTCCTTGGCTTCATCTGAAACATGAGGGGCTAGGCTGGTCCAGTCTGGACTCCTTCCTCATCTCTTTCCTTTGGGCCCAAAGGACTCTAGCCTCTGATGGGTGCCCTCTACTAATGCCCTAGAGAGGGACATTTCCTGGGCTTGGGCACCAGATTCTTCACCCAGCTGAGGGGCCATGCTAAGGGTCCACAGTTCTTGGGTTCATCAAGACCCACTTGGCCTTGGAAGTAGAATATATGTTGGATAAGGCCTCTTCCGGGCTGCATGTTCCACTCGTGTCCCTCCTGCAGGAAGAGCTCCTGCCACACTGAAAACTAAGCCCTGGCATCACCCCCACCCTGAAGCCTTCCCAGATGCTCCGGAGAGAAGTGAGTCCTTCCTTTGGGTTCCCACCAGTCTGGGGGGCAGCCTCCCATGCTGGCACCAGGAAAGCTGAAGATCATTCACCGAGCTAGCTCACCAATTCTCCACTCTTCTGGAAGCTTCCTAAGGACATTTCGTTTCTCTATATATCCAGACTTTATAATGATTCATTTTCCCCCATCAGCATCAACCCAACAGAAAGTTCTTCAGCACAGAGGAGGAAAAGCCCCTGTCCTCCCTGGCCAGAGCTCCAGCCCCAAGTGTCTCACCACTCCCCCAAGGGCAGCGAGGACAAGGGTCAAGTCCTAACTTCTCTTGCCACGCCCACCTACCTGGTAACCCCCCGACTCCGCCACCCCATGGCCCTTCTTGCCCTGGTCACCCACTGTCCTCTCTGTGCTTCTCTCTCTCTCTCTCGTTTCTCCCTCCTGCTCCCCATAAGCACAGAGACCCTTGGTGAAGAGGAGCCCCCCAAGATGGCGAGCTCCTCACGGCAGAGGCCATGTTGATGGCTCCCAGGGCCCAGCAGCCCCAGAGCGCTCAGTGCAGCCATCCAATCGGATGAGGCTCTCCCTCCCTCAGGCACCCCGTACCTGCCGGCCCGGGCTCCCCTACCTGCCGCCACCTTCAGAGACCGGATGTACTTGGACCAGAAGGAGCAGTCGGCCTTCTTCAGGCCCTGTCGGTTGGGGAGCAGGACGCTGAGCTCCTTGTAGCTCTCCCCATGGGCAGAGAGGACAAAGTCAGGCCAGGGAGCCGCGAATTCAGGTGCCCTCCTGGAAAACTCATGAGGATAGTTGGGGTTTCTGGGGACATGGGAAGAAAGAAACATCCATGAGGGAAACTTGTCTTTCCTTTTCCTTGCACGGGGCCACGTCCCACATGCCCTCGCCTTGGGGACCCAATCACACACCCAAGGGTGTCAAAACAGAACCTGAACCTGCTGGGTCTGACTTCCGGGCTGTGCTCAGCGCAAGGGCCCTGTCCCCACTCCTGGGCCACTCCCGCAAGAGGAGATCTGGGCAGGCACGACACTGTGGCATTATTTTGGCCCTTTCTACCCTGCTGGCCCATCTCCGGAGGACTTTGTCCAAGGCCTGGGCAGGGGACGGTCTAGAGGTGGCAAACTGCCTGTGAAGGCGATCTTGACACCCCTCAGACCAGACTCCTTCTCTGACTTTCACCCCAGGCCCATCCCAGCGTGTCCTTCCAGGCTGTAGCCCACACAGCAGACCCTCCCGGCCAAACAACGTGTGTTTTTCATCCTTTCCCTGGGGAGTCTTGGCTCACGTTAACTCCCCACCACCCCCACCCCGGGTGCCTGCCCTGTCCTGCATGGCCTGAATACCCTACTCATCCTTCAAGGTCAACTTCAATGTCATTTCCCCAGCAAAACATTCTCTAAGTCTGGAATTAAAAGAAAAGTCTTTGTGTTCCACTCCCACAACTGTTTGATTTTGTCCTGCCTTTAATTATGCTGCGTTTCAGCCCATTTGGGAGGTTACAGGTGAGCTGTGATATTTGTGCCTTTCACTTTCCAGGGGACCTAGTGCAGTGCCAGGAGGCCAGTACCTGTCTGGCACCGAGCTACAGGGAGGTGGGTAAATTGTAGGTGAAAGGGGCAGCAAGAACCGATTTGGGAAGAGAGAACAGTGAGTCTGCTAACTCGACTAGACAATCCTACATGGGGAGGCAGATAACGAAGGGTCCAGAGCAACTGCACTTAATCTGGCCATCTGGACAGTGGTTCTCAAAGCAGGATGGGTGGTTTGGCCTTCCAGGGACAACAGCCAATGTCTGAGATATTTCTGGTCTCACAACTGGGATACAGTTGGGGTGCCATTTGCGTCTAGCAGGCAGAGGCTGTCTAACAGCCTTCAATGCACAGGACCGGCCCCCCCACCCAAAGACTTATCCAGCCCCAGCATCCATCAGGCTGAGAAACCCTGACCCAGAGCCACCAACTGTGGCTGAACAAGGCAGTGGAGTAGTTGGAAACTTCCGACACCAAAGATGGTTTGGGCTGGAAGGGGGAAACTGAGGCAGGGAAACAGGTGGCAGGCGACCCCATCTCCAGGGTGGGCAGGGTGAGTCTTCCCGTTCAGAATGAGGGCAGGGGAAGCGCAGTGCCAGCTTCAGACCGTCCACTCACCCAGACCGGATGAAGTTGGAGAAGAACTGCATGACTTGGAGGGACAAGGTCTTCTCCTCTGGAGTGAACCGGCCCTCGTAGGCGGGGTGCAAGGGGAGCCCAAAGGCAAACTGAACATCCGCCGGCAAGTCCAGGCTGAGCAAACACATGTGGAGAAGCAGCAGCAAATGTCAGAGGATGAGAAACTGCTGGAAACACCAGCCAAACCCCAGCCAGCACAGGTCCTCAACCGGGGCTTTTCTCTGCTTCTGCTGAGGGTCCTGGTGACGGCTCAGCGTAGGTGCGCTCTGGCGGGGCTTTTTATCCAGTGGCCCTTGGGCAGATCCACAGCATATGCATAGGGAGCAACACACCTGAGGCTGGACACTTACCTCTCGCAAAACCTGTGAGCAGTTTCCAGAGAGAATGTTCTTTTGATCATATACTGACCACATCACTTACCATATCAACCACTTGTTCAAAAGGGCCTGTGTTTTGAGCCTCTGCTCTGTGCAAGCCTGTGCATGTGTAGTGGTACTGCAAATCTTCAAGGGCGACATTTACCCATTTAGCCAGCCCCAGGACAGCGCCAGGCACGTAACTGCTGTGAATTAGTACGTGCTATGGCTGAACTGAACATCTAAGAAGCAGGAGACAGAGGGGATAAAGACCTGGAAGGCAGGTAAGTGGTTTAAATGGGCTGGGCTGGAACTGGCCCTGGGAGAGCAGCCAGGGGTACACAGGGCAGTGGGGGCGAGCCCCAGGGAGGGAGACTGTGGGAGAGCGGGAAGGGACTTCACAGCTGTGCAAGCACTTGGCTTCCCCAAAGAGAGCTCTGGCCTGTCTTGGTGTCTGGGAGGTCGTATCTGTCATACCTGACAGCGGTGTCTCTGTTTAGGTGAGGGGCTGGCCACACTGCATATTCTAGCAGATTTAGTCATCCCCAAAGTTCTAGGGGGAGGGGGTTGGCCATGCCAGAAAGACCACTCTCCTCACTTCAGGGTGGGGTCTTGGTCATCAGTCAGGCTTAAGACTGAGAATAAACATGTGGGCAATCGATCAATTATTCAGTTACGCTGCATAACAAAGCCCTAATGAGGTCTCCGAACCCCTAGCCCTCCCAGGTGGCTCTCTGTGAGCACTGTCACGTCAACACCAAGAGCTCAGCCCCTCCTGATTCCTGGGGGAGGAAAATGGCACTTTGGGGTGGGGTCCTGGTCTCTGTGCTCTGAGCTGGCCTGTCTCCTTTCCCCGTAACAGCCACGGCCACGGGTCTAGCGGCTGTCATGAGGTCTGCGAGTCTTTCTAGAGAATTTGCAAACTGAGGGTGGGTTGGGGCCCCCTGAATTGGCACGTAGTCAGAAGCGAGGGTGGTCTTGGGGGTGACGGTGCTCCCTGACCTAGAAGCTGGTCTCAACTAATCATCAGGGCCAACCTCTAAGTTCACAGGAAAACGGAGCCCAGCAGGGCCAACTCACTCGCCAACACGCAGTGGGCTCAACAGCAGAGCGCGTCCCCAGGAGCCTGAGGCTAAGAGCAGGCCCTGAGGCCCCAGGGCACCACACCTGGGTCCCGGCTCCTCCATTTGCAAGCCAGGTGGCCTCTGGCAAGTTCCTTGACCACCCTGATCCCCTACTCCATCATCCTGGGCCTGGGTGTATGAATATTCAATTCACAGGGTCGTTGTAAAGATTCAGGTAAGATGGGGCATGGAGCAGGTGCTGTAGGGCTCCGTGGCGTGGGTGGCGTCGCTCCTTCTCGTCTGTCATTCTGCCTCCTGGTCTAATCACCTGCTCATCTCCGGTCTAACCACACCTCCAGTTCTCACCATGCCAGGAGGATGGACACTTGCACCCAGCGGCCAGATGCCCCAGGAGAGGCCTAGGGGTCGGGAGGCTCCCGGATAACTTATTTGGAGGGTCTAGCACTATGACTAAGGTGCTGAGCTCTGTGAACAGGCTGTGACTCTGGCTACAACTCAGAGCACTTTGCTGGGGTGACCCCAAGACTGGGAAGGGGGCCCCCAACTGAGGAGCAGATCAAACCAAGAAGGCACTGTCCCTGCTGTCCCGACCCTGCTTGGGCTGGGAACTGTGGTGACCCCTCAGGATGGAGCTGGGCCTGATGCCCAGGTGCCAATCTTAGCTACGGGGCTTCTGGGGGCCCCAAGAGCTGGAATTCCTACTCTAACAGAAGAATCACCACCAGATAACACGTGGCATCGGGTCCAAGAAGGAGAAAGTCTCTGAGTCACTCAGCGACACTCACTGTCCCCTCAAGGCTGCACGACTCCGGGTGAATCACTGAGTCTGTCTTAGTTTCCTCATCATGAAATTCCAGACCAAACCGCCGCCGCGTGTGGGAGCTACTTAAAACCATTCACGGGGACCCGGCTTATTACGACCACGTCATCGTGTGTCTGGCTGACCCCGACGAGGATGGCATCGGGCGGGGGCGCGGGGCAGGCGGGACGGACGGTGTCTGACCGGCAGGGGCTGGGGCGTAACAGTCACAAAGCGCGGTGTGTCTTTGCTCTCCTGTTCTGGAGCCTCTGAGGGTGAGTTCAGCTTTGCTTGACTTCTGCCAGGGAGCAGGAGGGGCAGTTCCTCAGTGTGTAGGATGCTGGGACCAGAAGGAGCTGTGGTCAAGCCCGGGTCAGCGCGGGAGCTTGACTGGCTGTTTAGCAGCAGCTCGCCAGGGACACGTACATGGACCGTGTCCTGAGCACCCAGGACACGCCCCCCTGGGCGACCTTGACAGCCCCACACAGGGCAAAAGCCACATTACCACCGTCTTACTTTCCGGGGAAGCAGCTGCCCTCCCTGAGACCCAGGAGAGCCAGGATTCAAGGCTGCGCCCCCCACAGGCTCCCTGCTCTGCTGACTCTGCCTGCAGGCAGGGGCGGGGGCTCGCCAGCCCCACCAAGAACCCAGCTTCCTAGTGACATTTTCAGATGCGCAAAGGAAAAAGGAAGCCAAAGCAAAAGTCACCAGGGAGAGAGAAAGTGTGACGAAGGCAGCAGAAGTCATTGCGCACATCTCCTCACACGTGGTTAGTCAGAGGTCATATCATCCTCACCATCTCGGGGACCCTGGGACGAGATCTTCCTGCAGCAACTCACGGGCGTTCTCTGCGTGACAGCGCCAAGGCTCATGGAGGCCCTTTTCTTGCCAAGACCCCATAACCTTCAAGTGTGATGCCAGGGCTCCAGCCCGGTCTGGGATTCCGAGGCCGGGTTCTGCCCCTCGTCTCCCAGCTGCGGTTCCTCCTCCCACATCCTCACTGGTCTTGTGTTGTGTCTGGGCTTCCTCAGAAGCGCACCCCTTCTGTGCCGGCTGCCTGGAGCCCAGAAGGGGTGCATCTCCCCCTTGGGGACCCTAGTGCTGCTCCTCCCTGCAGTGGGTGGAGAGGGAAGCAGCCTGCTTCTCAGGAGGCCTTTCAGAAAAGGGGCTTGTTGGCTGTCACTGCTGCCTGAGAAATCACTACGAACTGTGGCCTTGAGCAAGATGCGGACGCTCTCTCCGCCTCTGGGGTGCAGAAGTCCGCACGGTTTAGACCGGGACCAAAACTGCAATGTCAGCAGACCTGGCCCAAGCAAATCTGTTTCCTGCTCAACAGAAGGTTGTGACAGAATTCAGTTCCCTGAGTTGGGGTCCAGGTTCCCATTTTCTCACTGACTGGAAACCAAGGGCCCTCCCAGCTCCTCGAGGCCCTGCCCACGCAGCCTACCCTGAGCCGGCAACGTGGATCTGTCAAGTGCTCCCCTCCTGTCTCTCCCACCTGCCTCCTGCTCCACATCCCACCTCCATATCCTCCCTCCCGACCCCCAAGTCCCTTTACATGTAAGGGGACAGGTTCACGGTCTGGGGGATTAGGACATGGAGTTTTGAGGGACCCATTATTCTGTGGCCTCATCTACCGTTGCTTCCAGAAGGCTGTTTCCCAGTGGGGTAGTGAACAGAGACCAGTGTCCTCAGAGCCAACTGCAGCTCGATCACTTCCTTTTTGAGAAATCTTGGACAACATACAAAAGCCCTCAGGCCTCCGTGTCTTCTCCTGTATAACGGCGACACAGTCATACTTAGAAATGTTGAGGGAGGTTTAACAATAACATATTGTGAATCTTCGACCCAGTTTTTGACTCATGTATCAATTTTTTCCCCATCTTCCCCTGTGTGTGGGTAACACCTAAAGCTTAAACAAACCTTAACCCAAGGGCCCCCCACAGGATTTCAGAGGACTGCGCTCCCTGAAATTTTATGTAAGCTCGTGTGGGGCTGTGCACATGAATCTTTCCTGGGAGAGGCTTCTGGCTTCCAGCAATTTCTCAATCAGACCTGTGTAGTGGTTTGTCTGCTAAGTATGTAACAACTGGCTTTTGCCAATTTCCTTGGTGTAAATGCCCCCGCTGCAGACCTTTCAAACAACTCACGAAATGCAGAGTTGGGAAAAATGCGCATCATCAGCTCTTATGCACTGATGTCAGCTGGCTTCAATCCCCCACAGCCTGTGCCCCCAGAAGGTTAGGGGAGCACTGCTTTGGGGGAAAGGCCTGGAATCCAGCCCATCCAATTTGTTTAAGTTGAGAGCCTGTTGTGTATATGGACGTCTGCTTTGTTTTTTCCTTTGCAGGGCTGATGGTTATCAGGATGCTGGAGTTATTTCCAGCAGTCGGAGGCAGACATCGGGAGGAGGGGCAGACAGTGGGAGCATTGGGAGAGGGCATTTGGGATTAGAAGCTCAAACCCTCAGCAAGTCTGGGCCCTGGCTGAGCTCCCCAGGACCCTCTGGAGGAAGAAGAGGGGATTTGGATTCAGCCTCAAAAGAGGGAGATGGAAGGACACACCAGCGCCTGAGAGGTAACAGAACCCACTAGCCAAGGGCCAGGTGTTTGAGGGCTGGGGGCGGGCCGGGCCGGCTTCCCTGCTCTGTGTCAGGTTTGATCACGGAGGGATCATCTGTCCAAGTTGTACAGGCCGCTCGTGCTGGTTTTGTTAACTCTCAGTGGCCATTTGCCGTCTTTAGTAACAACAGTCAGTTGCACCTTCTCCTGTGTGCTCATCCTGAGCCCAGATCAGGTCTGGAGCCCTCGTGTCCTGTGTGGAAGTGCTCCCAGCTGGCTGAGCCCCCCTCAAGCCCACTTCCACCGCCGACTC